CATAATTAAGACACCATGTAGAACGGAATTCAGAAAACACCAGGGATTCATAATGGAGTATAAGACACCATGATTCAATATGATTCATAGACACCATGGAATTCATAAATGGTCGATAAGAACCATGGATCATCATGGCATTCATAAACACGCATGGGATTCATAATGGAGCATTCATAAGGACACCATGGATCGCCATATTGGATTCAGGAAGAACATGGGGTCATAAATGGATTGCATAAACACCATGGATTCATACTGGAATTCAATCAGACAACCATGGATTCATAAGGATTATATAAGGACACCACTCTCGATCTTACGAACGTTTAGTTTGTAGTCGTTAGAACACGTATTACGGTATGCAGGAAAGCTTCATCGACCCCCGCTATTAACTCAATTGCCGAGAATTCGATTTTAATAATAAATGTTGTATTCAACGTTATTCTTCTTACGATGTAGTAGCAGAACAGTACAAAGCCGCTTATTAACGAGTCTGTTAATACCCAAACCGAATAACGTTACGCTATCGATCATAAAAACCTAAGTTTCCGACATGGGACAAAGATGATTAAAATGTTTAATATTCGTTTGCAACTTCTCCCGCCAGTAAATAGCTATTATGCGAATTGACTGATATTATTTCTATATTTCAGGCTGCTGGATTAAGGACGTCTAGATTTATATGGAGATAATCTACAGCGCCGCTCTGCTTATCAATAGTGGGTCCGTATAGAGGTCACCCGTTATCGTGACAGTCACAACACAGAGGCGACGTCATTCGTGACGTCACACATCTGTCGTATTAGGATCGACGCCATCGTGACCGTACGCCACGCGGTTAGAATGACGTCATCGCGACGGTCATCACTGAGTGTTCGAACTCGTTTTAGGACTCGAGATTCCCTTGAGGTTTTAACGAGATGTGGAGATGGAAATCGATCGCTTATCGACATTCCCCGCAAAATATGTAGCAAAACAAACATTTATGACAAGCATCATCGATATTCCGATCGCATAGTCGCAGACCACACTGCGCCTGCCTATATAGATATATATATATATATAACATATTATAATATACTATAGTATATATATATAGTCTGCTTTTCCTGAAAGTCTTTGCACGCAGCTCAATATCACTTAGTCGCGCCATCGGTCCGCTTAAAGCACGTGTGAGGAATAATAACGACACACACTATCTCTCACTCGTTCGCGCTCTCTCATGACAACTTCACGACTCATAAAACAAAACACTTACGGCAGCCGAAAAAATTCACGCAAGACCAACGACCATTATCACGTGATTTCGTTACTCATTCAAGACGGCCGCTATGAAAACTCGTGGTATTTATCGCACGTAGGCTTCACCTTTCACGCTCATCTGAGCCCTTATCGCGTTTAAGAGACTTAACGCTAGCGGTTCACTGGCCAGCGTAGCTACTATGTATGTTGATGTATCTGTGAATTGCAGCGCCAACCGTTCTTTCTCTGTACAATCCATTGACGAGTTGCTGTATCACCAACTAAAGCGTCGCGTTAAACACGGCGAGTCGCCACCACGACCTGGGAGTAATAACAACACAATGCACACCACAGCACGCAACACACCACACACACAACACAACACACACAACATGCACACACACACACACCATGCACACACACACACAACACACGCGCGCACACACACACACACACACGACAGACAACACACAACACACACACACACAACACACACCACACACACGCACACATGCAAGCACACACACACACACACACACCACACCATGCACACACACCACACACACACACACGCCACACACACACGCACACAACACACAGCGCGACACACACACATCACACAGCGCACACACGCACGCACACACACACAACACATACACAACACATACACCACACACACACACAATGCACACACACACACACACACACACACACACACACGCACATCACACAACACACACGACACGCACACCAACACACACACACGCACACACACATCACACGCACGCACGCACACACGCACGACACACACACACACCACACACACACGCACGCACACACAACACCACATACACACGCAACACACACACCACAACACACATCATACACACACGACAATGGACCACACACACCAAGCTCACACAACACACCACACAAACACATCACCACACGCGCGCGCATACACACACACACACGGTACACCGTACACGCACGCGGACACAAAACACATACACCATGCGACACACAACACACGCGCGCGACACGACACAACCCACACACACACACACCCAACGACACACACACACACCACCACACACACACACGACCACACACAGACAACACACACTAACATACACACACACACAACCACACTACACACACTAACACACACACCACGCGCGCATACACACACACACGGATACACACGTACACGCACGCACACACACATACACACATGCACACACACGCGCGCGCACACACACACACACACACACACACACACACACACACATACATATACACACACTAACATACACAGACACACACGCACACACACGCACGCACGCACGCACACACACACATAGTGAGAGAGAGAGAGAGCGAGAGCGAGAGAGAGAGAGAGAGCGAAGAGAGAGAGAGAGAGAAAGCGCGCGAGGAGGAGAGAGAGAGAGAGAGACATACGTACACACACGCGCGCGGTGACACATCCCATCATATCATCCAACTCACATTCAGTTACCTACCAGTTACATTGAAATTATCTCACACTTACACTTGCAATTACCAGCGATCCCCATGCGCCCCGTGCACTCCCAGTTATCTTACAGTCTTCTCCAACCCCACCAACTTATCTCAATCGGTTCCAAACCCATCCACTCACTCCAGTTACCTCCCACCCACCTATAGTAACCCCGTCACCACTTCCGCCCAGCTAGTCACCCCAATCACCTCCCAACCCACCCAGTAACCCCAATTACCTCCCAACCCACCCAGTCACACCAATCACCTCCCAACCCACCCAGTCACACCAATCACCTCCCAACCCACCCAGTCACACCAATCACCCCGGCCCCCACCCACCAAGTCACTCCAATCACCTCCCACCCACCTAGGGATCTCAGTTACCGGCCACCCACCCACCCGTGACCCAACCACCCTAGTTACACCACTGCACCCATTCATCTTCAGTCAGTCCCCTCGCAATCGCCCTCGTGTCTTCCATACCACCCAGTAATCCATCAATAACATCCAGTCGCCATCAGTCGCTCCCAGTGTGTAGCAGGTGCATGAAGTGTGTACTGCCATCATCAAGAGTGAATGCAGCCAGTTCTAAGCATTCATACAAGGCGTGCTAACGAGCGCATTTGAACCTATTCGTCGCGACACATACAACACGGAGAAGAGTCTCAGTGTCAAGCGCTTGTTATAACGACGTGGTGTCAGCAGCAATGCGTGTTCATACGAGAAATACAGAGGAGAGTCTTCAGGAAGCTGTTAGGTACGGGCGAGTTATAACGACTCGGAAAATGTCACCGCGATATTTCGTTCAGAAAATTCCGGTTACTCGATAATCCGTTCACGCGGGAAGAGCGGTTTATAAGGAAACTCGCCAATCTAAGCGAGGGAATTTCCCCGCGCGTATTACAGCACTGTCTCTCTCTCTCTCTCTCTCTCTCTCTCTCTCTCTCTCTCTCTCTTTCTTTTCTCTCTCTAGCGCGCGATCTCATTCTCCCCCGTCGCACGCGCACACACACACACACACACACTTTCATAATGGATTCATAAGACACCATGGATTCATAATGGATTCATAAGACACCATGGATTCATAATGGATTTATAAGACACCACTCTCGATCTTCGAACGTTTAGTTTGTAGTTGTTAGAACAGATTAGCTGTATGCAGGAGCTCATCGACCCCCTTTATTAACTCAATTTCGAGAATTCTATTTTAATTAATAATGTGATTCAACGTTATTCTTCTTACGTTGTATTAGCAGAAAGTACAAAGCCGCTTTTAACAGTTTTGTTTAATACCCAAACCGAATAACGTTACGCTATCGTCATAAAACCTAAAGTTCTCGACATGGGACAAAGATGATTAAAATGTTAATATTCGTTTGCGAACTCTCCCCGCAGTGAAATAGCTATTATGCGAATTGACTGATTATTATTTCTATATTTCAGCTGCTGGATTAAGGAGTCTAGATATATGTGGATAATTACAGCGCCTCTCTGCTTATCAATAGTGGTACGTAAGAGGTCACCCGTTATCGTGACGTCACAACACAGAGGTCGACGTCATCGTGACGTCACACCACTGTGTATAGGTCGACGCCATCGTGACGTCACGCCACGCTGTATAGAATGACGTCATCGCGACGTCATCACTGGTGTCGTAATTGGTTATTACGGGCTCGAGATTCCACTTGAGGTTTAACGAGATGCTGAGATGAGAAATTCGATCGCTTATCGACATTCCCCGCAAAATAATGTAGCAAAACAAACATTCATACAAGCATCTGTATATTCGATCGCATAGTCGCAGTACACACTGCGCCCTGCCTATATAAAGAAAACTCTATAGCAGATACACTACGGATACAGATCTATGCACAATGAAGAAGACGAGCATGTCACCTGGTGGTGTGCTGGGTGGGGGGAGTTCCGGATAAAGACCGTACGCACTCATAGAACTCCTACTAAAACCTCGTCAAGCGTTAGAAAATCATGAAAAAAGGATTGAATAGATACCCCCATAATTAAGAATCACACGCGTTTGCGATCGTAAGAGCGACGCGCACGCCAAAGATGACACAATAACGCGACCCACATCCGGATCCTTTCCCGCGAGAGGAACAACCAACAAGTAATGCGTTTTAAGCGCGGTTATTCCAGCTAAATGGACTCGACAGTTGACACATCAGAACGTGGGCACTGATAATTCGTGTGCTTGCTACAGCGTTGCGATCTAAGGGCGATGTGTGTGGCTCTTCGCGGGGGGCGAGTTGTTTACTTCCACGCTTTTGCGAAGCGACAATGACAAGTGAAGCGCACAGCACAGCCATGCGGTTCGTAGCCACCACAGCCAGCCGCATACGTCGCCTCTCACTCGTCGCTCGTGCGGAGGTGAAAGTCCGCCACGATGCAACATAATCATTACCGCAGAACTCGGTGCGTCTTGCTGTCTGTCTTTGTGGGTCCATTACCGCTCCTGGCACCGAAGCAACAGGAACGAGTTGGCTGGTGTCGAGTCATGATGCAACTGAGAGATATAGAAGCATTCGATACTAGATCATTCGCCCGTCCCATTATGCGTGACCGCATAATCACGCTGGAGATTGCACACATTATTATTGACTGTCAGGTTAGTCACAATCTCCCGCCTGACCTAAGCCGTCCTCATGCAAGCTCTCCTCGCGAAACACTCTCCCCGGTAATTCTTCCCGCAATGAGCCGATCGCCCGTGACAGGCATGGGGGCTCGAACCAGGTCAAAAGACCACTGCGAGACGTCCTTGCTACACCCTCCCATGAACGCCCCCGTTGTGATGAAGTGTTGCTTCTGCTCTTACGCATTCGTGGGCATGCCCTCCTCCCCCGTGTTGTTTTAACTGTTGTGCCGACCGCAATCACGTCAAATGCCGCTCGTCGCCGCACGCCGTTGTCCTGAATCTACGAACCATGGCTGCAATTCCACTCTTGAATGAATCGGCCGTAACCATTCATGCACACCCGAACGGCCCAAACACACCCACCCCTGAGCCAAGGCCGCCTTGAGAGACTGGCTCGAACGCGTTCACAGTATATTCGACTTCATTTACATCCTAGGGGTGGTATGACGCCCCGACGGCGCGATTTGCAACGGCGGGAGTCGACCCAAGCGCAACTGGGTGCCAAGTTGAGTGTCTAAACTTAGTGTCGGTTGGGGTAGTGAGTGGTGGACAACGCTACGTTGAGAAGTCCCTTAGGAGGGGCGGGAATTGGCGAATGAACTGTGGTGGCGGTGATGTGGTGGACTGATGGTTGGGGCGTGCTTGTGCCTGGGTGGTCTGGGAGGGTTGAAATTTGGTGTGTCGGCTAGGAGGGGATTGCGCGGTGAATTGAGAAGCTTCTGGTCGGTTCGGGAGTAGGAGTAATTCGGTCCTGGGGTGGAAAGAGTTGCCGAGGAGTTGAGACCGTAGCGAGGCGCAAAGTGTGCCGTGCTTTCCCTAAACAATACGCTTTCAAGCTCGGAGGTACTCGGCAGAGAGACTGCGAGCAGCATCGGCGAACCCGAGACAATTGCGCGCACTCACAACGTTGGTGGGGTTGAGAAGACTCGCACAGATCAACACTAGCGGAAAGTGCACGGGCGCAATGGAATCCGCTGGTAATGCAAAAAAGTGCGCACAGTGTGAAGAATAAAATTGCGAGAGTAAAACTGTAGGATAAACTGAGATGTGAATTGGCATGAATATGATGGGATGTGTCACCACGCGCACTGCGGTGAGTGTCATAGTTAACGCAATTGCTCTCCTACTCCCCTCTGCTCTCTCTCTCTCTCGCACTCTCTACCAAGCGGCCAGATTTAACGTTTGCCTTTACCGGCCCTCGCTCAGCCTCCTCTGTCTCTCTCTCCTCCTTTATCCCGAAGGCGTCCTCTCTCCTCATCCGCTCCATCGCTGCCCTCTCCTCATCCCTCACTAGTCCGCCGCCGTCCAGGCGTGGCGTGTGTGGCCCGTGTGTGTGTGTATGTTAAGTGTGTGCTATAATGTATGTGTGGTGTGTGTGTGTGTGTGTGTGTGTGTGTGTGCGCGCGGCGGTGTGTGCCATGTTGTACATGTGTGTGTGCGTGCGTGCGGTGTACCGTGTGTGTGTGTCTGCGCGCCCGTGTGGTGTGTGTGCGTAAGGTGCGTTGTGTGTGTGGTGTGTGTGTGGTATTATAGTGGTTATGATAGTGTGTGTGTTGTGTGTGTGTGGTGTGTGTGTGTGTGTGATGTGTGTGTGGGTTGGTGTGTGTGGCACCAATTCTACGCGCGCGTGTGTGTGTGTGCATTGTGTGTAGTGTGTGTGCGTGCGTGTAACGTGTGTAACCCGTGTCGTTGTGTATGCCGCGCAGTGTGTGTTGTATGTGTGTGTGTGTGTGTGTGGTGTGTGTGTGTCATCGTGTTGTGTATATGTCGTGTGTGTGTGTGTGTGTGTGCGTGATGTATGTGTGTGTTTGTGTGGTGCGTGTGTGTTGTGTGTGTGTGTGCGTGCGTGTGTGCGTGCTGCGTTGTGTGGTGTTGTGCGTGATGTGTGTGTGCGTGTGCGTGTGTGTGTTGTGTGTCGTGTGTGTGTGTTGTGCGTGCTGTGTGTGTGTGTGTGTGTTGTGCAATTAGGTGTTGTGGCCACTCGATCCACGCGTGTGTTATGTTGTTGGTTGGCGTGCGTGTGTGCCGTGTGTGCGTGTGTTGCGTGTGTGGTGTGTGCTGTGTTGTGTGGCGTTGGTGTTTGTGTGTGTGTGGGTGTGTGCATGTGTGTGTTGTTGTTTGTGTGTGTGTGCATGTGTGCGTGTGGTGGTGTGTGTGTGTGTGTGTGTGTGTGTGTTGTGTGTGTGTGTGGCATGTGTTGTGGTGTGGTGTGTGTGCGCGGCGCGTGCTGTGTGGTGTGTGTGCCTGGTGTGTGTGTGTGTGCATTCGTCGTGGTGCTGTGTGTGTGGTGTCGCTGCTGTGTGTGTGTGTGTGTGTGGTGTGTGTGTGTGTGTGCTGTGTGTGTTGTGATCCGTGGTGTGTACTACCTCACCCCCCTCCGCGTCGCAGCACCCACGCCGCTGTTAACGCCGTAGCTTGGTGATGCCAGCACTCTCATGATGATTACATAGAGAACACACCAACCACACGCGCCTTCGCCTGCAATCACATGATCCACACACATACACTAGTTACAAACCGCTAGGCCAGTGAACAAGCCTAGCGTTAGCCTATCTAAATACGCGAAAGGGTAGCAACGAGCGCGTGAAAGGTAAGCACTAACGTAGGCGACTCAATCCACCCACGAGTTTCCACTATATAACAGCGCCGTCTGAATCGAGTATACGAAATGCACAGCGACCTGATAATGGTCGTGTGTTTTGCGTGGAATTTTCGCTGCACACGACTCACACGCACCGTCACTACTCACGCACACTCAGCCATGAGAGAGCGAACCGAGTGAGAGACTGGTGTGTCGTTATTATCCAAAACGGTGCTTGTAACGGAACGGACTCAGCGCACAAGTGAATTGAATTGCGTGGCAAAACTTTCACAAAAGCACGAATATACCTGATATATATAATATATATAATAATATATATATTTATATATATTTAC